TTTTGCCTTCCCTGCCTGCACGAGCTGTCCTGCAGCTTGTGTCCTCCCCATACACCATGTTATTCCTGCCCATCTGCTCGCTGCAGTTCACGGCACGGTTCCTTCTTTGTGCTGCCCATATCTGGGTGTTAACAGGACTGCCGTTGGCTGAGGGGTTTTCCCTGGGAATATCAGTGCACACTTAAAACACATTCAGACAACGTGACCGTCGAGCGTTGCGCTCTGTTTGGTTCACGCACGCCTCAGATTTACTGAGGATTACCCCAGCCACCTCATCCGTACTTAGAGGATGCATGAAGCCCTTGGTGTTTCCGTTAAACAAGAGAGAATCAGATGCCTTTTAACACTGGTGCTCTCCTTGCAGGCTCCCACTCCACCGTTTACAAGGACCCCATGATTCTTGTCGGCCCGGAGAACCTCACGCTGACAGTGCACCAGACGGCTGTGCTGGAGTGCATCGCAACGGGCAACCCTCGGCCCATCGTCTCCTGGAGCCGCCTCGGTAAGTCCCACGGGTGACTGGGATTCCCTCTTGTCCTCTCTGTTGCCATCACATGAGAAATAGAGAGATGCCACTATTTTGTGCAACAAGTGATTCACCCTTTCCTTTCACATTGAAGTAAATTGTAGGCTTGAAGTGCTTTTTATCCTTGTGTCTACGCTTTTTTTTTTCCTCTGTGCCAAGATCCTGTTTTTACCTCTTAGAGAAGTGGGTTGGTTAAACCTGTAGACGTTTCATGAAAGGTGATAATTTTATCTTTCCCCGAGTGACAGCATCTTCTTCAGCTGCATCAAAACCATCACCACTGTTGGCCTAGAGATGCAAAATCATACACAAACACATCTTTCACGTAAGACAGACTTGAAAGAAACTCGCTGCCTGTTCAGGGAGTTTTAATGAAATTTTGAAAGGAAGAGAGTGTTTAAAGTAGCATGTCTGAAGCTCTGAAAAAACAAATGCTTGCTGCTGGGGTCCGTGATGTATTTTTTAATCCGCATGGAAACCAGAAGCAGTGTCTGATGGCATCATGCAAGCGAGGAAGAGCAAAGTGCCATGCTTCTCCCCACCAAGCAAGGGTTATTTTAGGCTCTAACTTCATGACAGCAGCTCAGAAACTTATTTTGCTCAGAGCAACACTTCCATTGCCCTACAGAAATCCACGCTGAGCAGAGAGCTGATGGTTTTCACTTTATCTTCTGGAGTTTGTAGCTGCCTGTGCGTGCTGTGGGCTTGGGTTCCGTTAGTATTTCCCAAGCCCTTATGGTCTGCGAGGTCACGTCACTAATCTCCCCGAGTGTCCCAAGGTGGCTGTGAAACACAAACAGGGATAATCCTGTCTCATGCTGCTGTGGTGGATGTGGGACTTCACCCCCGTGACTCTCTGAGGGTCAGGATCCAGCTCAAGGGAAGGGTGACTTCCCGCTCCAGAGCTGTCTGCCAGGGCAGACACGTATCCAGCATCAATTGCACAATTTCTCCATGGTTGCCCTCCTGCTTGCATCCTCTGGTGGCTTGTAAAATCAGCTGGTGTCTGCCACTAACTGTTTTTTTTTCCTCCAGAGTCATAACCGTCAGATTGATGCTCTTTTAAAAATTCCCCAGATACGCTGTATCACTGTTTGGGTTCTCTTGGACACAAGGCAGCTCTGTGTTAGTGCTCAACTATAATAAACTACTTTATAATTGCCTTAATTATAAGTGCTTATTACCTTCTTCAAAACACTTGTCTCTATAGAGCAGTGCAGTAATGAAGATGTAATAGCTTTGTGCGATATTTGTCTGGATGGTCTGAGCTCGGCATTGCCTTCCACTAAGAATAAATACCCTCTCCACGCTGCTTTGCAGCCCAGCAGCAGAATTAGAGTGACCAAATGGGAAAGGCATCCTGTTCAGCAGGACTGTTTCCTGTCCAAAGCATCGCGAGGTCTCGTTCCGTATCACGCCGATCTCCGCAGCGATGCGGCGTACAGGTGCTCTGATGGGTTGGGGGCTTTGTCATCTCTTCGCAGCTGTTTCTTGTCTCCATGTCTGCGTGATCAGGAGGAGGGAGAGGGGTTTATGCTGGATGGGGAGGTCCTCAGAGCATCTGTTGTCTGTGCATGTGGCTTCCTCCCGTGTGAAGGTCATCTTCCTAAAGTTCCTCCTACTGAGCTGGTTTAGCTTAAATAACCAGTTAATTTACTCAACTTCAAAAACCCCACACTTTTAATCCTCTCCCAGAAATTAAAAACCCCATGGACATGAAGTCTTAGAGAGATGCAGCTGATTTAGCAATAGGCCTGACGTAATTTAAACAAAAAAAGTCAATTATACGTGAACATCTTTCTTGCCTGGTGGAAATAAAGAAGAGCCGTGGCATTGCCGTGGTGCCGGCTGTTTGCATAGGGTGTGCTGCCGTTCCAGAGTGTCTCTCTGAACCCCTGTGCTCACGGTTTAGGTGTTGGGGCGTTTCTTCTGTCAGAAAGGAGCAAAAGAACACTTTTGCTTTTACAGCTTTCTGGTGCGGCCATAGACAACATTTGCGCTTTTTGCTTTTGCTTTGCTAAAGCCTGGCTGGTTTTCAGGGGGAAAGGCAGCTATATCGTGCTTGAAGGAAATCATTCGAATTCTGGGCCGGTTTTTGAGTGTCACACGATCAATTTTGAATTTAATTTCCTTAGGAATATGTTGTAGCCCCTGACCACAAACAGAATTCCTGTGTCTTGCCGTGCATGAAATGTCAACATTCATTAGAGAGCAGGCTCTGAGAGAAATGTAAAATCATTAAGGGTTTGTTCGAGGAAGATAGGGTTTTTCCTTTCAGAGCGACGCACTTCAGGCTCGGACCTGTATGTGTGCACAAATGAATATCCTGGGCACTTACTGCAAAGCCTTTTGAATGAATGACGATTTTAATGTATCCTTACCCTCTAAGTGACAGGCCACTGAGCTGGCCTCCATAAAAGGTACCGAGGCAGGATAATAAACTATTTAGAGAGATATAGAAAAGTGAGGCGAGAGAGAAAGGACAGTGATTATCTGATAGTGTTATACAGAAGTTGTCAGAAAGGGTTGCACAATGGGAAGGAAATTACTAAAGAGGGAGCCATTCAAGAAGTAAACTATACAACAATTGTAGGAGCCAATTAATTGGTAACTTATTGGACACAGAAGCTTGCAATAGATGGCTGACTGGTTGACAGGAGCACCGTTCCCGTAAGTGTTTAGAAATAATAGAGTAAATTTCACCACTTCACATACTGAATAGTCAACTGTTGCAATGTACTCTAAATATGCTAATCCACAGTGCCCAGTGTCCGCCGGAGCAGGAGACCCATGTGTCTAAAAAGTGGAAGGCTACTATGGCACAATACAAAGAATTCACAAAAGACCTAAATGATCAACATTAGAAAGTTGTTACTTTCTTTCTACTTGCTCCTTATAAAAGAAAGGCGTTCGTGTCGTTGCATATTCATATTGCCTGGCACGTTTTAAGGGGTCTCCGTAATTGGTGCTGGTGTGCCAATCACTTGGTTAGCAGGCGGAGAATGGACTCCAGAAGGCATCACATACACCTTGGGAAGATAAATAATGTGGCCCCCAACCTGCAGGCGTCTTTCATCCAGACTTAACTCCAGTGAGAAACCTGGAAGCCTCTACTTGTCCGTAGCCAGGGCATCCTTTGGGAGCATCTCCCATTTGGAGAACAGTCTCCTTTATTAAATAATTGGTTGTGGTCTGCTCTTCACAACCAGCTGAACCTCCTCCTTGTGCCCCCATCAACTGAGGATCGACAGAGAGAATCTGTCAGACGTTTCCACTCAGGCTGGCTTGTTTTCAGCCCTCACCTCTTCCGCTTTTGACTCCATAAAAAGAAGCAGAAGGTCATGTTAAATGAGCAGCAGTTTCAAGCTTGCATGGGCCCTGGGCACTCTGGGAACTGAGCAGCAGTGTTAGCTTTTGCAGCCTTTCGGATCTCCTCCATGGAGATATGACTTGGGGATGGAAAGCAATGCCAGGAAGGTGGGTTTTCAGGGTTTGGATCCCTTGATCCAAGCCACTCTTCAGGTCTCTGTGTAGGTGAAACAGGGTTAAGATAGATAGCAACCTTTGCAAAGCGGGTGTGAGATACCAGTCCTTCTGCACAGCGCTTCTGCGAAGTGCTGAGCTTTCTGGATGTAAGGGATTTCTTGTGTAAATACTCCGTTATTTGTATGTGTTGCGGGGTTACTGCGCTGGACTCGATGTGCGCTGAAGAGCTTCTGGGTTGGCTCAGGCCGAGTGAGGCACGACAGAGTAAGAAGGATGGAGCAGGCTGGGAAGGCAGTGAGATTTCTCTAGGAGCCCTTTTCGGCGCTCTTTGGGAGGGAGAGTTGAGTAAGAGGTGTGTGGGATAATCTGGCATGGTGATCTCTGCTGGCTGTGAGAGGTGGCCACTCTCTGAATCCAATGGCACATCCCCCGAGGTTCCTGAGCTTGGAGAGCTTTGCTCTCCAGGGAAATGAAAGATGCTTGGTTGACAGGAGACGTTTCTTCAGACCACCACACCTCTAATTAATAGTTGGAGCTAGGGAGGAGGTATCGATGCCGGTATTTGGACTGTGTGGAGTACCTGCTGCAGGCAGGGTCTTTGCATGCTTAAATTATGTAGCACGTTATAAATAATACAGTAAAACTACTGACATTCCAGTCACATTTCTGGGGTTTTCTGAAGGCAATGATGTGAGGAAGCATCCAGGGGTGGCCACGCCGCATCTTTCAGTGGTCCCACCCCTCCCTTGAGAGATTTGATTTTTATGCCTATTGTAAATATGGACTTCCAAAAGGTCTAATTTAAAAAATGAAATCAAGTTCAATTTGAATTTAATTCAGACCTCTTTACACTTCAGTTTAAATGATGTTTGAGGGGAACGGTTCCTTCTTATTGCTCATTAAATGTGGGACAGGTCATGTTTTACTGTCCTTTTTATGACTGAGCCATTTACTGCAGCAGTGGCTTGGCCAGCTATGTGATCATTTAATGACATTGTTTTTCTCTCTCTAAAAGACCTGAGCATTTTTCTTTGCAATGCAAATAATGAAGTGGTCTGGCATTGCCTGCCTAACGAAGCAAGGCAACCTTTAAGATTAAAAATTTCCTGTAAAACAATATATAAAGACCGTGTCAGGAGATATGTTTGTGAAGTGCTTTGTAGCTTTCGGTCAACGTTTTGATGGTGTTTCCTAGCAGGATTCTGCCATTAGTCTGACATGGGATCTCTCACTTCTGTGGTCTAGGATTATTGCTGGATTACACCAGATGCAGCCACTGAAGTGGCTGTGTGCCATCAGTATTGATAACCAGCCTGAGTCTCAGGTCCTTGAGCACTAAACATCCCTGGAAACTGCTCTGCCCATGGGATGATGGTGAATTTACAGCAGGTGGAACAGCCATTACCTAGTGTCTTCCTGGAGGGTTCTGTGGGAGTGGAAACCAGCTAGAGCAGCTCAGATCTTTCCCCATGACCTGTTGCTTCCTACAGAGCAGTTCTGGTTTTGCTTGGCTTCTTCCATTTCCGTAGCAAGATTACGGCACAGACCAATAGAGCTCCCAGGAGGAATTTTTCCTTTTACTAGCCAAGACTTTGAAGCACAAGACATGCCCTTCTGCTGTGGCAGAGCACATGTGTATGGAGGGATGTGGGATGGTTGGTGGGGGCTGGGGGTTCCAAGGCTGGTTCTTCCTTCTCCTGTTTCTGTAGATACTTTAACTCCCTCCATGAGCAAAGGCAGGGGAGGAACTGGATTCCCATTTCCCATCTGATGAAAGTGTTGCTCCCTTGAACTACTCCTCCAGTAAACCCACTCCCCTGCCTTGTCCCTCAGCTCAGACACCCTGACACGTGCTAGGACAGATTTAGAGCTGCCTTTGTCAGACAGTGTCTTAAAGCACAAACCAATGAAACCATAAAAAGCAACAGCCTGATACTAATGAAACACATTGTAATTAGAGATGGCTGGGAATTTTCCATTGAAAACAAGCTTTGTTGGAAAAAGGTGAATTCCCTGATACTGGGATACTGATGCTTCGATTTTGAAGACCTTGTGCTGGAGCCCAGGCATGGTTTTTTGAAACATCACTGCTGTCCTGCCAGCCTGCCTCAGACCCAGCACTCGGGATGGAGGCAACCCTTTCCAGTTGCCCTTCCAAGCCAGAGCAGCTGAGCAGATCTAACCACTGTTGTGTGTTCAGGAGCTAAGGAATTGAAAATCCAGTGTTCGCATAGTTTCCAAAGCCACAAAAATCCGTGAAGGGTTAGCAGGCAAGAAGGCATAACTTCTGGCTCAGGAAATCCCCAAGTCAGATATTGGAGAGTCCATCAGGAGACTACTGCTGTAGGTTGGCCGGTCATCTTCCCAGAGCATCCCTGTTTGGAGCAGGCTGTTGAGCTGGTTGTATCCCTGGTCAGCCTGATATAAGAAGCTGATATGATTTAACTTGGTTTAACCCTTCTGTTGAAGAGTGTTCCGGGCTCTTCATCTTGATCTGAACCTGTGGCTGAAAGCTTTCACGTTTCCTGTGATGGTTCCTTCATTTTCCAAGCAGCACAAAGTGTGGTTTTGGGCAAACACATTTGTTTTCTCTCGAAGGCAGTTCTAAGAGCATCAGCTAAAACCCACTGAATTTACTTGGCAAATCCCCTTGACAGTAATGGCACCATTCCCTAAGTACTTAGGTTGGACCTCATCGAGGACTGTGCCCTGGAGAACCTCTTTCAAAGGTCCAGCCTGTGACTCTTCCCATTTTTCCCTTCTTTCAGATGGCCGCCCGATTGGCGTGGAGGGGATCCAGGTGCTGGGGACAGGAAATCTCATGATCTCAGACCTCACTGTGCAGCATTCTGGCATCTACGTGTGCGCTGCCAACAAACCCGGCACTCGGGTGCGAAGGACCGCTCAGGGCAGGCTGGTTGTACAAGGTGAGCAAACCTGGGGCTTGGGGAGCAGTGAGACCCACTTTGCTGTGCCCTCTGCACCGCCTCTATGTGTCGCCTGGGCACCGTGATGGGTTGGGTTGAGCAAGGCTGGCTTTGCTTCTGATGGTATCCAAGGACTTCTTCTCTAGACACATGGTTTTCCAGGTGGGTGTACATCTCTGTGTCCCACACAGATGAGTGGCAACCAGGTGTCATTCACCCGAGACCTCAGCTGCATGGGTTTCCACCCCCCCCCGGCATTTATTTGGCTTAACAGACACTGGTTCTTACTTGTTATCATACTTGTGCACCTCAGCAGAAAGCCTGGGCTGAATTAATCAGCCAAATTCACCTCTCACCCCTGTGTGGTCCTTAGTGATATGGGGACATGGGCACTGTTCTCATATTGGACCCCTCTGCTCCAGAGTATTTCTCACCAGAAATGGCACCAGTCAGTCTAAAACCATTTCCAAAAAGTCAGTGGGGCTGTTTTCTTTAGCAGTCAGCACTGCCTGAGCCCCTTGCCACGACATGAGTTAAGCACCCATTGGGTGAGATGCCCAGGAGGTGCAGGTTGCTTCCCTTCCCCTCAGCAACTGTCCTGAAATGCAACTTGTAAAGGGTGATTCAGCCCAGAGTAGAGATCAGCACTCAAGAAACCAAACACATCCCCTTCATGTGCTCCGTGCGACCAGTCTCCATGGTGAGGGAGCCAGGCAAGTATTTCAGAAGGCAAACCCAGCTGGCAGCATGCTCTGAATGGCAGTAATCCGCCCCTGATTACAGGCACTCACCTCCTCTTCAAGCTAGTCCACTTAAAGCATCTTGCACTCTCATCAGTTCACTCATTAACTATTGACTGATGATATCCTGAATCTAAAATTATATACCTCCTGCCGGAGCGAGCTAATTGAACCTATCATGCTGGTGATGGGGAAAGCGCCCTGCTCCAGCCCTGACACTCACCTGACAGGTCCCGGGCGTCGCTGGCAGGGATCAGGCATTGCATCGCTTGTGCAGCAGCCGTGGTCCCTGGGTGCTGGCACCCCTTCTCCCCTTTGCCTTGGGAGCAGCGGGGAGCAAAGGGTGTTTATATAGAGTCCCAGATACTGATCAGACTTAATAAGAGGTGAAAACTCGCTGTTTCTTTTGCTGTTGGATTGCTGGCTGAGCAGTGCAATGAGGGGGTCTCCCAGCTGGCTGGTGGTGGGCACAGCCCTTTATTAATAAGAAACACCAACCCAGGATTAGGAACAACCTCGCTGTACTGATACAAACACTGCTGCAGGACAGCTCTGCACATGGTGTGTGTAGCAGAGTAGTACACAAGTAGTCTAGGAGTAGACTCTAGTAGACTACTAAACCCAAATACAGAGCTGATGTCCAGGTCACAGGCAGGCAGAGCCAAAAGAAATTACTTGGAAAAGCTATGAAGTTGTAAAAATACAGCTGTTGACTGCTCCTGTTAGCAGTTGGATGAGAGGGGGAAAGGTAGCATGACTTCTCATTGCTATGGATCGACAGTTTTCGGTCTCTGGCGATTTGAACGTCAGGTCCTTAGCAGCTGGTCTGGTGCTGGAGTTCCTCTGGGGTAGATTTACTGTGGATTTTCATGTGGGGGTCAAAGATGAGAATTTGTCCCTAAAATGATAATCAGGGCGCCATCAGAGCCCAGCTTCGCTGTGGAAGGGGATGCTCCTGTGTTCAGCATTAGCAGAGAAGTTGGCAGGGGTATGGAGAAGTGTGGCAGGTGCATCCTTGGTGTAGCCCCTAGACATGAGCTGCAGTCTCCAGGACTTCAACCTGTGCCGCCCATCCATAAAATGATCCATGTTTTCCAGAGGGCTTTCGTTCCCAAGGGAAGCTAATAGCAGAACCTGGCCAGGCAGCTGGGCTCATCCCAGGTTTGCTCACCCTCCCTCTGGAAGCAGCTTTTCTTCCCTCTGAATCTCATTTTGCCTGAATTTTCCAGCTGAGAGGTACAAATGATTGCTGTTCAGGTTTGTCTGGGAAGAAAACACCGATAATGACTGACATGAGAGACTGTGGGATTTATCTTTGTCAAGATGTCAGCGATGCAAATTACATCCGTAAGGAGAATAAAAGCAAAGAGCGGGCTATCAAAAGCCTGGCTGGAGAGGAAGTTAGCACAGGGCTAGGACAATACTTATCCTCAAAGCACGCCAGGCCAGGTACTTGCTGCCTTTATGCAGGGGCCCTTGAAGTGCCTGGAGACACAAATTAACTTGCCCCTCAGCACGTTTTATAGGTGGGAAACTGGGGGAGAAAGGGTGATGTTTCCTGTTGTAAGGCAAGGAATTAGCAGGAGGCTGGGACTGAGACCACCTCCTCCCTCCTGGTCCTGGTCCCCGTCACAGCAGCCGTGTGAGCAGGGGTACGTCGGCACAGGGCTCTGCTCTCGCTCCGGCAGTAATGTCCTTTCGTGATGCAGGCTCTCCTTCAGATCATCTAACGCCGTCTTATTATCTCCCTGGGAATTCCTCCTCCCTTCTGAGGAGAAGGCGTCAATCCCCCGCTTCCTCCCTCCCTCCCTGCCCTCCCCTGGCCATTTAGGCTCCTTTGATCTCTTTTGTAAGGTTCTCACACAAGAAAGTTTCCATTTTCTCTTCAGATCCCAGCACAGCCATTTGAATATTGCTTTGTGCCGGGGCTGCGAATGAAAGTCTCACGGGGGGAGTTGTCGAAGGGCCGAATGCGTTGCCGGCTGAAACGGAGGGTGTGCATGCGTGTGGTGCAAGGGAAGAGCAGGCTTCGGTGGCAAGGGAAAAAAAACATATATCAAAGCGCTTTCTCTCTACCTCCTGTGCAATCTTTTGTGGTTTATTATGTGTTTGGTGTCATAACAAACTGATGGGCTGTGAATGGCCAGATGGTCACCAGTGTTCTCCACTCCACGCTTCATTTCTTCCTGAAAGCTATGCAGAAAAATGAGATCCCATCTCGTAAATGAGTGCCCATCTTAAGGACACGTTTCTGAAGGCTCTGCTGACAATGACTGCCTTGTTCGCCTTGCTCTCTGCCGGCAGAACCGGGCAGTGCTCCTTGGTCCGGCAGACCCGGCCACCACTGCGTTTCCTGATGTTTCTTCCATCGTTCTTGCTGGCTGGCATTGCAAGCCTTGGCTGCAGGGTTGAATTCAGGCGTATTGTGGTTGCTGTATTTAGGGTACTTGGTTCTTCCTCGAGTTTAGCCCTAAATTCATGCTGCAAAACCAGCTTCGGTACCTGCTGCGTGGGTCAGTGTACACCGTGGAGCAATCTCCTTCATGCCCATATGCTTGTTTGCCTTCTCAAGAAAAGCCACGGGGACAGGCAGATCTTGTCCATCGGGATGCTGGAGAGTGGACAGTGATTGTCCATCAACCACTGGTGGCTGATGGACAGCCTCCTTGAGTGGTCTCTGCCTGTTTCCCAGGGGACATGGTCATGGTTCCCATCTTTGACCCTAGAAATCCCACCAGCTCTACAACTTGGTTACTCACGTAAGCATCTGGGCATCCTCTGTGGTCAACAGAGAGGAGCCAAGTGGACAGCAGTTCTTTGTCTTAAAGCTCCTGTCATCAGGTGCTGTGCTTGACTGACCTACCCATTGACCTGTCTTCTCCTTTATACCCTTATTGTAAGTTCTGGTAGCCTAATTTATGAAACTTTGTTGTTTCCACGTTTTTCTTCTTTATTCTCCCTCACCCTGCCGCTTCGGCTACTTGAAAATTAATGATGGCTGCTTACTGATGTGCAAGGATTTTTCTGGCACTGGGCCTCCCCGATCCTGAGGACAGCCCTTCCCAGTGAGCCGTTGGGCACTGCAATAAGCACAACAAGGACAGCAAAGGTCCCCGTTATCTCAGGATGGGGTCACTGCTGAGTTGAGATGTCCCCAGGGAGATGGAACCAGCCTGGGTGTTCTGTTACAACCCACTGCTGCGGTGCATCTTCCTGCTATCACTTGGTTGAGCAGTGTAAAAGCTATTGAAGCACTTCGTTAGCGATCCTGGGGGTGGCATTAAGTGTTACTGCTTTTTGATACCAATGTCACGCCTTTAAATATTCATTAAAACTGCATGATCCCCTCCCTTCCATTAAGTCCTGAATAATCAACGCTCTGGTTTCCTTCATACTTCACAAGCCAGGGCTGGATCCTGCCCGCTCCTCCTCACCAGGTTTGAATCCTCTGCTCTTAACGGTGATCTTCATTAAGATTTTCATTAAGATTTTCACAGAGGGCTGCGAGATGCTTTCTCTCCCCACCGGCGATGGCCTTGTGGCATGTCGGGTGGGAGAGAGACCTCCAGGCCGCTGCATCTCCGTGCAGGGCAAGATGAGCCCTGACAAGATGCTCTATTAATTATGACTGACGAGGGGGTGGAGGGCTGGCAGCAGGCAGGGCTGGCAGAAGGCAAGGCTCCTTTCCTGCTAACCCAGGGCCAGGGGGGCAAACTCTCGGTTCCTGTTGAAGGGAAAGGGCATGGAGAGGAGCCAGGCACAGGGAGCAGGTCTTCTGTCCAGGAAAGGAGCCGTTCACCCCAGATCTTGCACCAGCACCCGTCTCAGGGCACCCTGCCTAGGGCTGCTGGTGTGAACACTGGGTCGGGTGCACCCCATCCCGGGGTAGCAGAGCAGCATCTCCTTACAGCAATGTCTGTCCCCGCAGTAAGATGCTGGTAGCACCTGGACCATGTCCTTTCTCTGATGCTGCCAGTAGCCAGTGATGGGGACAAGGATCCTTTTAACTCCATGGATTTCTGCTGCAGCCTGGGCCCTTTTGCTGCTACAGCCCCACTCCGCTGCATCTTCTGTGCCCAGAGGAGGGGGGTGAGACCTGAGCAGGACAGTGATGCCTGGAGAAAACCTGGAGGAGCAGGAACACAGTGTCTTGAAGCGAGGGATGCCACGGAGCAGGGACAGCTCGGCACAGCAGAGGTGGGAGCCGTTGGGAGGAGTGGCTGCCTGCTCCCCAGAGAGTTTAAGCAAGTTAAACCCAGGCTGGGGTTTTGAGGTGGTTGTGTTTAGCGAGACAGTGAAGAGGAGGGACGGAGCGGAGCAGGGACCCGAGGATAGCATCGCTGGCACCGAGCCAGCGGCCGCAGCTGCATGTTCCTTACCCCCAAGTCACACACAACACCGCTCCAATTACTCCCACTTGACACGGGATAATAAGGGAGGATAAGGAGAGCCAGCCATCCCAGAAGGGTTACACTGGATACCTCTTACCATATTTAAACTTTGTTTCTGCTGGAGGAAAAGGCGGGTTTGAGGTTCGGCAAAGCCAGGGAGAAGCAGAGGCAAAGAGCCAAGCGGCAGGATCCTTAATGAAGCTGGAAGGTGGCTGTGCCCTTCCTTGGCATCAGGATTTCGCACCTGCAAGTGCTGCGGGTGCAGCTCGCGAGCCCAGATGAAAGCGGGGGGGTGCACAGCTGCATGCAAAATAATTGCTCCTGCAAAACCACGCCAGCACAAAGCCAGGGGGGCGGGAAGGTAAGGAAGTCTTGAAAATCAAGTCTCTAATGTACACCACACTGTACACCACAATGGGACTCTTCACTGCAGGGCAGAGGGGTTTTTCCCCATTTATCCATGCTTCCAACTTTTATCAAACCCATCCTGAATTTTAATTTATAAGGCTAGAGGGGGAAAAAAGTGTGGGAGGGGAAAAAGAAGGACAAGGGATCAATTGGCACCTGGGGAAGTTTAGCAGGAGGTTCTGGAAATACGTGACCATTAGGTTGCTGAGATCAGGTTCATTAGTAGACCCGAGCGTCAGCACAAGTACACTCTGCCGGTGGACACCCCCTACCACTAAATCAGTCAGACCTGCCGCACTCCGCTTCCCTTTGGTTGTTGGGAATGGAAGAGGGGGATCCTTCGAGGCAGATGGGCTCCTTGGGGAATATCTGTGTCCTGCTTGCAGGACGTATAACATGCGTAACTGTGTTCTTACAGCACCTTTCGCTGCCTCGTCAGCGGCAGCGATGCTCTTCCCTTGCCTGCACGCAGCGGGGGAAGAGCTTTATCACCATGCTGTTGCAGCAAACCCTGAGGGTATTTTTGGGCCATGAATCAGAAGGTTCTACTCTTTGCATAGCTGCTCCACCTGCAGCCTGTCTGCCCCTCAACACATTTTGCTGGACCTGTTTGCTCCCTCCTCCCAACCCCGCATCTCTGCTGGTGGCAAAACCCACCAGCCCCATGCCTGGAAAATTCCAGCAAGTGGCACTGAGCGTGTCTCCTTGCTTTTGTCGGAAAAATTGGATGCCAGCCATCCATTATGTGACGCTGGTCAGTAAATTCATTACGGGCCTGTGCCTCTCGTCTGTTTGTCTTCATTGCGGCTCCTGCCGGTCCCGTCTGATTTTAGGTTTCAGCAGCAACGTGGAGTATATTTATCACTTTGCCCTTTGAAGCGTAACTGCCTGAACAACCTCACCTATTTGGCACTGTCTTTCAGGTCCTGCTTTCTGTAGGCTGATACGCTGGTTTATTCTGAGGAATGATTTTAAATCTATTTTAAGCTGCTGGAATTGGGGAAATCACTTTCCATTTAAAAATGTTATTGTTAGAGGTGAAAACATGTGGTAAAGTGATGAACAGGGGTTACAGGGATGGTGGGGTCTTCCTCCAGGCTTGGCAGGACCCCGAGGGTCCCAGGCTTTGTACTGGCAATGTGTGCAAACGTTTTTGCAAGCCTCCGCAGCGGCGGGCTCGTTTCTGCCGGGGGGATGGCTGCGCGTGGTGCCACACGCTACGAAGGGTTGCGCACGCTTTCTGTTCTACATGCAAACTGCTGTCCTTCCAGGCTGCTTCCCTCACAGGCAGGATGCATTTTTAAACAACCTTTGTCAGATAGGGATTATTTTGCAGCACTGGGGTTGCTTTTGATATGAGACTGGGGAGAGGTGAGGGGGCTTGGACCTTGATGCTGCTTGCCTGAACCTCGCGGGACTCACCTCGGCTCTCCCTGCAGCGCTGAGCTGTTGTGAAGCTCTGACTGCCAGGATGGGCAACCAGATCGCAGCTTTGCACTGATTACAGACCCAAACGGGTTTAAATTGAAAGAGGGGAGATTTAGATTGATCATCAGGGAGAAATTCTTCCCGCAGAGGGTGGGGAGGCACTGGGACAGGTTGCCCAGAGAAGCTGTGGATGCCCCATCCCTGGGAGTGTCCAAGGCCAGGATGGATGAGGCTTGGAGCAACCTGGTCTGGTGGAAGGTGTCCCTGCCCATGGCAGGGGGGTTGGAACTAGATGATCTTTAAGGGCCCTTCCAACCCAAACCATTCCATGATTCTGTCTGCTGCCTGTGCTGTGGGTTGGTTAAGCATCCCATGTTCCCAGGCAGACGAGGCTTATTGAAGCCCATGCTACAAGGTTACTCATTGTAGCAGGATAAATTGGGTTCATCATGACTTTTCTCACCCTCCTTCTCCTTCCTTTCTGCAGCCCCGGCAGAGTTTGTCCAGCATCCCCAGTCCATTTCCAGGCCTGTGGGGACAACTGCCATCTTCACGTGCGTGGCTCAAGGGGAACCCCCTCCGCAGATCACTTGGCTGAGGAACGGGCAGATCCTGGAGACCAGCGACCACATCAAGCTGAAGAATAACAACAGGTCGGTCCTCGTGCGCTGGTCGCTGTCGCTGTAGCGTGGGGTGGGGGGCGGTGTGAGACACGCGGCCGGGCTGTGCCGTTCCCCGGGGTCTGCGCACGTGGAGGACTGTGGTGCAACGCTCCCTGATCCTGCTTTTGAGAGGGGCTGAATTAAAAGCCATTATTTTGAACTGTCTGGACTCCAGGGGAAAGGAGAATGGGAGAAATGTTGGCTTTCATTCTGCATTAGCAAAGAGCTAAGGTGAAGGTGGTAATGTTCAGAAGCAGGTCTGTGGATTTAACTTGGGCTTTGATACAATAAACACTGCTGCAGTCCTGTTGGCTGCGTTTTGTAGGCTCAGGTTTCAGTGTTTCGTGCTTTGTTGTACCAGGACGTGAGTATTAGGTTTTGGTGATGCAGAAAGCCAGCAACACGCTGTCTTCAGTCCTGATCATCCTCTGGGTATTTCTGGAGGGACCAAATATTTTCCCTGGAGTTGGCAGGGACCATTCTCGCTCTGCAGCAGAGGAACTCTGAGCATTGACCTGCTGGGGTGCGCAAATGCAAATACTCTTTTTCCCTGAAAATACTTGAAATAATATTTGCGCGTAAGCTGGCTTCCACTAAACTTCAACCTTTTATCTCACCAGGGAAGAGGGTTCTCTCAGAGTACTAAATAACTGCGTTTTCATGTGAGGGGATGGGGATGTTTGCACTGAGGAAATGATATGGCGGGATGCGTTTAGTGTGAAAATTGCAAGTTGACAACATAGTTTCTATGGAAATAGCATGGAACAATATACTGACAAATAATAGTACCTGTGTTGTAAACGGAAATTGCTGGTAGAGCTTTGTGCTGTGTGGTGTCACATAGCTGCTGTGGGCATTAAGTGTGTCTCATGAATGCAGCTACTGGAGGGTCCAGACCTTTGGTGTAGACTGTTGGGAAGTGTTCTGCGGGCACCCTGGCTTGTTCCACAAGAGAGAACAACAGACATATTTTCTAAGTTTCTCTGTAATATGGCTTTTTGTTTTGAGGTGTAAGGCTTTTCTACAGCTTCGTTATATGAAAGAGGGAAGGACATGAGTTGCAAGAAGGATAAGGTGTGAATTGTAATAAAATCTTCTCTGTCGGTAAAGGTTTTCTCTAGGGTGGAAGTTTTTAGAGACCTTCCAGGAACTCTGTGTGTGTATAGACAGGTGCTACTCAATCCAGGCTTGTGGTCTTCTGGTTAATGGGTGGGTTTCTGAGGTGTGTCTGCCCTTATGATATGAACAAAGCAGAAATGGGAGAAGGGGAGATTTTGTTGGCGAGGAAGTGGAGTCAGAAGTGAGGGAAAACTTTACAAACAGTCATTAAATCCATGGCAAAACTCACGCTGAGTCCAACTCTGCGTCTCGCCTGATGTCTTGCCTGTGAAATCATTCCTCTTTGTTGCTTGAGGAAAGTAGAAGTAGGGTCTGTGGTCATGGTCATGTCTCCTGGCCAGGTCCCTGTGCCCGGAGCCGCGCTACATGGGGACGTGAGCTGCGACCTGGCGAACACGGCAGTAATCGTTCTCTTGTGGCAATCATTTTGTGTCAGGCCTTTCCACGGCGAGCTAAATGATCAGATTACATTGTGTCCGGCGCAGGCTGGGGGAGCTCAGCCAGTTACTGGGGCTCAGCTGACACGTGGCATCTTCTCAAGCTATAGTAACGCGATTGTAAAGCTGAGCCCTAAGGCCATTGTACTCGACGATGTTGAACTTTTGGCTTCTTTCGCACTAGTCTTGGTCTGCTCTGACCCCCGACTTCAGGCAAGTGGCCGTGTCTGGTGGTTTCCAAAGCTGTCACTCTGAAAAATGTCCTCGCTGGTGCAGCAGGTCTGGGTGCCCCATGAACTGGAGGAAACAGCTCAACGGCTGGGGTGTTTTCTGAGCTTTTTCAAGTTGTCCTTTGTTTCGTTCTCATGGGCATGACTAAGTGCTGTAACCCACTTAGTTCCAGGCAGAATCAGTTTGTGATTATGCCGTGGATTTATCAGTCTATTGCACTTGGAAGATACTTGTCTGTGTAAAGATGGATCTTGAATCTACCAGTAATGAAGCTACTAAACTGCACTATGAGCTTTTTAATTAGATGACATGGTTTCCTAGAAAATTCATTTGAACTAAAACTCTGCTTAATATGGCAATAAAGGTCTGAATGCCCCCAAAGAGATTTTTAGAAAAAAAAGAGTAAATCATCCCAAATCATATCATGTAGTAATTGATTGTGAAATACTTCATTATGAGCAACTTGGTTCTTGTAAACGAACACTGCTAGAAGTGAGGACCAGACCTGCAGAACACAGGGCGACTGAGGTGCTGCTTGGAACGTACAGCCCCCGCTGCAGGCACCGCTCCTGCGCGCAGTCGCGCAAACCCGCAGCCCAGGGGAAGATCTGCCCGTCAAACCGTTGCTTCAGCTTCCCGAAGTTGTGAAGGGTCCTTGGGCATTTACGACACCCCACGCTGCCTCTCATGGGCAGTAACTGCAAACCCAAGGAGAGCAAAGCCTCAAGGTCAGGGGGCTTCGGAAGCCCATCGTCGTTGGGATGGGACAGCAGCTTCAGGGCTGTATTCTTCACCAAAAGAGGTGTTAGGGATTGGGATGGGCTGCCTAGGGAGGTGTTGGAGTCACCATCCTGAGAGGGATTTAAGAGACTTGTAGATGTGTCACTTAGGGACATAGTTTAGTCGTGGGCTTGGCAGTGTTGGGTTAACAGTTGGACTGGGTGATCTTAATGGTCTTTTCCGACCTGAAGGGTTCTTGGGCCGACAAGAAAGCTGGGGGGGACATTTTACAAGGGCAGGCAGTGACAGGACAAGGGGGAACGGGGTTAAAAT